CCCCACCATAGACACCTGCAGTCTAGAGTTTTGCAAATATCTCAGCAACGTTGTGGTTGTATTTCGCTTAGTAACCTGCCATGAAAATTATAGAAGGCAGAAAACAAAACGTTAAACATATCTTAGTATCATCTTAGTTATATATAATATATATAATGAGGCGGATAACACATTGGTTGTTATGTCCGTCATCACGGGCATGGTGCTAGTTCTATTCCACTTTGGGCCACTCAAACCTCTCATCCCTCCGGGGTCGGGGAATTGGTACCGGACTTGTCTGCAAAGAAATCACTCTCTCCAGTCCAGTTGGGAACGCTCCAGCCAAGCTATCTGAGGACTCCAGGGAGAATTACTCGACTAGCATTCTACGGCGTTCAAAATGAAACGAAAATCCTCAAGCAGCAACCGAAGCCACACGTAAAAACTTGGAAGACCTTCGTGGACGATGGACGCGAGCGAAAGAATTGGATGTGAGAAGTGCTGCGACTCGCACGGTAGACGTGAAGACGGATCAAATAAAATAGAATAAAAATGTATATATATATACATAAATTTATATATATGTATATATATGACGAAATCTTGATGTCTATTTGTTATCCATTTATTTGTATTGTTTTCAGTTCCTGGTGATGGTGGCAGTCAATTAGAAGCGAATCTTACCGGCAAGCCAACAGTAGTTCATTACCTCTGTGCTAAAAAGACTGACGACTATTTCGATCTTTGGCTGAATCTCGAGTTGTTTGTAGTAGTAGTTATCGACTGTTGGGTGGACAATATGATGTAAATGTTGTTTTGTTCGAAATTTACTGCCTATTATTTTTTCTTTTTTTTCTTCATGTTCTTGTTATATGAGCTGCAACCACAGTGATCGACCCGGCGTCCCAAGTTTTGCCGATATCCCAACGTGGTGACCTACGCCAGATCCAATCCGAATTCCTGAAGTCGTTCCCATCTATGAATGTGTGTGGTTGACGTTAGCCACGAAAACGTCTGGCAGTTGTTTGAATGGTTTTCCAAGAGGGCGTTTGGATTCTCTTGGAGTCCAGTCTCTGTTCTTTTCGTCCATCTATCATCTATCCTTATTATTATATCACCGGTCCTTCTGTACTTTACCATCAATGTGTACTTTCCTGAATTACGGAAACGAGAGAGATTTCGAATTACTGAGCTGCGCTTTTCAACATGACATTGTGAGGGCCGATTAAACTGCAGAAGACATCATTTGAGCGTCCGTCGGTGGTGCGCAGGTTCGTTGACGTGGTTGAAGTCTCAGCCCACGTCTTTGCTCCATAATGGAGCGCTTGAGGATTGTTGAGTTGAAAAGATGATGGCGGAGTTTTGGGTCCGGTAGTTGGTGGGTGGCTTCTTTGAGAGGCCCGAATGTGGCTGACGCTGGGCTCCTTCTATACGATAATTCCTCATTCATGTCGGTCTTCATTTCCATTGAACTTCAAAGGCACGCGTACGAGATGGTTCCTGTAATCGGAGAACCATCTAGTTCAATTTGTTCACCTTCGTACCACAGGTTTCTCATGAGCTGGGTATTCGTGCTATTTACTTGCACTCTCATTTTTCTCTCGCTTCGTTGACTTCATTTATTATCGCCTCTGATTCATGGGTATTTCTTGGAGGGATGGCGAAATTGTTTGCGAAATGAAGATTTGTTAAGAATTTTCCATCAATACGTGTGCCGTTTTCATCTCAGTCGAGTGACTTCATCGTAACACTGCACTGCGGCGCTAAACAGCTTTGGCGATATTCTATCACCTTGTTGAACTTTCTTTCTGTGGGTATGGTAAAACGTCGATGAAAAAGCTACATTATGCTAGTGCTGTTCCAGTCAGGTAGAGTTCTTGTGTTGAACGGGTCCACCACTTAGTCGACGAGCGTTCATAATACTGCATTTGTTTCGACGCTTTCAAACGTTTTTTCACAATCGAAAAATGTCAGAACTAATGGTAGGTGGTATTCACGACAAACTTCTAAGACCCTGAACACGGTTTGGATGTGGTTCATGCAGCAAACTCTTGCTTCTTCAACTGGTCCTGCCTCATTCACAACTTTCGGTACTCGCAAAAGGATAATCTTGGTGAACAGTTTGTAGTGTACACTCAACAAGCATATCGGGCGATAGTCACGAGGATCGCTTCGGTCCCTTTTTGGGTAAGATGACCGAGCGAGTGAAGGTAAGATTTCATGTGGGCTTTAAGAAGTACATATAATTTGTGGCCACCGGTAATCAACGGTGATGCTGTGGCATCATGGAACTACTCCTCTGTTCTTACTTTCCGTAACTCGAACTTCGACGAGTGGAATCACGGATGGTTTTTCACCAACGGGAATTTCAGGGTTTTCTATGGGAATAATATAAAGGATAAAAAGCTGCCGGAATTGATCAATCCCTAAAGGATACTCCATACATTCGACTTCATTAAGTATCGTTAGAGGTGATGAAATGCACATTTGGCCTACACAATAACCCGCGATGGTCTACCGATGTATCTCGCCAGTACTGCTAACCTCCCAGATAAGTCTGGTACCAATTTGCGACTCCGGAGGTATGGAGGGCTTGGCTGACCTGGAGCACGGGGATCAATCCCATGTGTATTGCAGGGCTCATCCGACCACTGCGCTACACACCACCTATATATATGTACATATAGTGAAAACAAATCTTGGAAATTTCACAAGGGAAATTTTCTTCACGTCTTTGTTTATGTTGCGTTTCATTTTATGAGTTATGAGTTTTCGTTGGAAGTGAGTCATTTTATACCCACTCTAGAATTTCTAAAAATGTGAAGGTTTCTCCATACACAATGAAATTTAGCTTTAATAAGGTACAGAGCTGAAATTAATGCAACTTTCTAGTGATTACAATAGATTCATCTTTATCAAACCCTTTCAATACAACTAGAAACTCTCCTCGAAATTTTCTCACTGAGTAGCGAAGAATTCCTCTGCGAAACTTTTGTCAAACACAACGTTGCTGAGATATTTGCAAAACTCTGGACCGCATGTGTCTATGGTGGGGAACGAACGCGCTATTATCCTTTCCGGGGAGTAACGCGTTCACCACCACACCATGCTGGTCCTTTGTTTCGCACGTCTCTCAGCTATTTCTATCGATCTTTTCGCCACAGCAATCACCCGTCAGCGGGGTTGATCTGGGGAGCGCAAATCGGCTTAGAACCCAGTTAAGCTATGGCTGTAGTTGAAATCACAATGTTTAACGTTTTGTTTTCTGCCTTCTATAATATATAATAATATAAATATAATATAAAATAATTATAATATAAAATGGACACCTGCGGTTCAGAGTTTTGCAAATATCTCAACAACGTTGTGGTTGTATTTCGCTTAGTAACCTGCCATGAAAATTATAGAAGGCAGAAAACAAAACGTTAAACATTTTGTCAAACAATCACCAAATTCACTATCACTGTTCAGGTTGGTATTCAACTCAACGACAGGCTTGTCATCAAATATGCCCGGAGTGGACATCCGTGTGCCCGGTTTCGGTGAAACAAACACCATCGAGTGGTTAGACAAAAGCAAGGTCATTATAAGTATTTTCAGAGCAGTTTTAGTTAACAAAAATAAGATATACATAAAAGAAGTTTATGTTTGTTGGTTACAAATTTGCTTTGACACGCGTATTCGAATTGAATGGATTGAAACCATACTTTAGCATTAAATATATCCTGGCAAAGCGCTACGATGAGCTGCGTAACATACGTTGTTAAGAATGCCTTTCATGGGGAATATACTTATACATAGTTCAACATCACAGTGTGCGAATCCAGCATCTTCATTAGATTCATTTCCTCCTATTCGTCGTTGACGTAGATAACAAGATTCAATGTAGGTCCGACTGCTGGTTGAACATATTGGCCATCTTTTAGAACGTCGTTTAATGTTGGTTTAGTGGATTTTCTTTGGCACCTCGATATAGTTTCGTTGGATCGTTACCAGACCTTTCACTACAGATAGCATTAGCATTTGTGGATCGAAACGAGTGCTCCTAGATAAGAACGGAGCAACTCACCGACCTCGGAAGGATGGAAGATTCGTTGCTTCAGGAGGGTGTCGTACCAGCGACATTATACCTATTATCGAGTGGCATCTCTGACACTGCTCGTCCCGCTCCCCGGTGGGGAACGTAACTTTACTTATCTATTAGACGTGGTTGATCATCACTGACAAGTCTTTACTTTTTTATTTATTCCGCATAAATTATATACTTATGCAATTACGTCTGCGACCGATGATGAAAATGTAAGTGTGGTCGCTCCTCAGTCTACTCTATTCCTATGATCATCGGTTCTAAAATCTCTTTTTTACGCTCATTTACATGCATTTTTTGGCCCTGGCGAAGGATGTTTTTGAACGTTATAGATGGCCAAATGGATACAAAAATAATTAATTGGATACTTTATTATTCTCTTTATTTTTTTTTTACTGTTTTTTTCTCTGTTCGTTTCCACCCGAGAAAATTGATTGTCTCTGTCTATATGAGGGTTTACTTTTATAGTTTCAGCTACAATTGTACGGGTTTTAGAAATGCGAGTTACATAAAGTCAGCATTTGTGCCATAAGAGTTGCAGAAATCAGATCGTATCTTTTCCAGGCTTCTCCTGGACTCTATTTCTTCACTTTGGTTGAACAGATGGTATCATGGGGTTATAGTCGTGGAAAGAATATCTTGGGTGCGCCATTCGATTGGCGAAAATCTCCGAGTCAGTGCCAATTTACTCTTTTATTCTAGAAAATATCTTTCTATGTCTCTGTTAGTATTTATGTTTACATTATTACGAAAAGAAAGTGTTGGTTGATTTTAAAGAGCATGGCGCGTGTGGCGCAGCGGACGGTGGTGTCCTGCAAAACACACGAGGCGCCTTTAAGCGCCCATGGCCCACCAAGCCTTCCATGCCTCCGCAATCGGCAAATTGGTACCAGACTTGTCTGGGAGGATACCAGCACTGGCTCGATACTTCGGTAGGCCACCGCGAGTCATTGTAAAGGCCAGATATGCATTCAATCACCTCCAGCGATGTTTGGTGATGTCGAATGCTTGGCGCATCCCTCAGGGATTGATCTACGCCGAGAGCTTTATCTTTTTACTTTTATAGCAGTTTCCATTAGTTATAATACAACGAACCTTACTCATAATGTGGGAGCGATGAGATGAATCGGGGACTTTTCAGTTTTGATGTAATTCATCAGTTCATGTTTCGTTTTCACGTTTGTTTTTCTTTACGGAAGGTGGAACACAAAATGACTAGAGACGTATTCTGTACATTGATTCTAACTTTTTACATCCTAGTATTTCTGCGTTCTGATATTTATTTTGATCTTGTAGTGCTTTAGATGAACTCTACTTGTACTTCGATTTACTGAAAACAACTATCGAGACCACTTATCGCTATAGCGGTCACACGAAAGTTATCACATTGGGTCACAGTATGGGTAATCCGATCATGCTGTACTTCTTCAACCATATTGTCGATCAGGTCAGCTAATTTTCGTGCAATCCATATATTTATTGAATTGGAGTCCTATTGGTGGTATAATAAGTAATGAAAACTTACTGAGAGAAAGGGAAAGCAAGGACATCAGAGGTGCAGTAGATAACATTTGAGTTCCCGGAAAGGCTAGTCGCAGGTTCCGATCTGTGATTAGGTGCGAGTTTTGCAAATTTCTCAGCATCACGGCAAGTGAAGACAGTTATAGTATTGTCAACATGAAAGGTAGAAAAAAAAATACCTGAATTAATTGTTTTCACTCTAGTCCCACGTACATCAACCCATCTGCACTATAAAGTATCTCGCTGAATATCCTGTTATCTGTATAGGTTGTAATATCATCAATCATCGAGTGATTCGACCGGGCACAGGTAAAGTGTTCGCTGGTTGTTTGTTAGATATGGGTCGATCGTTCATTGTCACTATTATCAGCTGGAGGGTGCTTACAAACGGCTCGAAGGGTTGCTTCGTACGAGGATCATCAATGTGTTCATTGGATGGGCTGTCGAACTATGCGGGAGTAGGTATGGGAGCTTGTTTGTTGAAGTGGTCATGTTTGGCCCACTATTTGGTTCCTAAGTGATTCGATCATATTTTTGTCCGTATTAACGTTCGTGGTAAAGTTTGCGTATAAACAAGTATACCAACAAACCTATGCATAAATATGACTATGTACCAGTCGGAAGGTGCGTTTTGATGCAACTCCGCAAACAAGTTGCCTATTCCTCGAATCCAACTTTGTCTTATGACGAGCATAGGAATTAACGGGTTCAAGCCCATCACACGAAGTAGGTCTATAGGCATAACGCTCTGCAGATCTTCTTTTTAAAATATTTTAAGAATCCAGCGAGAGAAAAAAATTCCTCTAGTGGCGAAAAGTAGGTGAAGTGAAAGTGAGCAATTTCATTTTTCTGGCAGTACTGCCAGTACTGCGAGCAACCTCTTATTGGAAAGCTTAACTTTTGGCGACTTAGAAGATCAAGATTCTTTGATTGATGAAAAAAACTGGCCGTGATCGTGGACTTTTCAATCACTCCGATGCTACTTGTTTTTAAAAAGCTTGAATAAAGATTTCATTAAATAAACGAATGTCCACGCTACCATCAGGACTGGAAGGACAAGTACATAGAGTCGCACATTTCGTTGGCTGCACCTTGGGGCGGATCTGCGCAAATCGTACGACTTTTCGCAGCCGGATACAATATGAACTACTATCGCGTGCTCTTGCCGCCAAGCAAACTGAGGGCAATGCAGAGGTGAGCGCTCATAGGGTTTCGTTGTTAGATCTGTTAGGTATCGTTGTTGTTCGGGCACAGGCATCATATTGTTGACAACAGATAAATCGCCTAACACAACAGATCGTTCACATCATCGGCCTTTCTATTTCCGAGCACGGCCGTATGGAACCATACGGATATCTTAGCGAGCACAGATGACAAGAACTATACGGTAACTGTAATGCTCAAAACCTTTACGAGAAGTGTTTTGTAATTCTGTTTTCATTAAATTTCGATTTCTTTTGTGATTTCACTTTTAGCTTCATGTGAATAGTAATTAGTTGTTGAATGGGATATGAGTCGGGTATGTACTGAGAATAAAGGATTTCATTTTCTGTCAGGTAGCCAATGTGAAGGAGTTCTTCTACGACATTAAATATTCCATCGGATGGGAACAATATAAAGTAGCTGGTCGGCTGAATGGTAATCTCAGCGCTCCTGGTGTCAAGGTAAATTGTTATTGTTTAGTGTTAATAGCGCTTTTGCTTTATGGTCACCATCTAGAGGCTATACAAATGAAAGCCTTAGTCAAGTTAAACGTTGATGTTACGGCTTAGGTTAAGTTTTAGTTCGTTACACGTAGAACGGCAAACTTGAGATAATCAGTAGGCACTCGACTATTGCGGAATGTACTAAATGCGATGTTTACGTTTAAACAACATCGCCTTTCATGATCTAAGGTTTTCTAGTTGCATTGCCTGTACGGTATTGGAATAGAAACTCCGAAGCAATTTACTTGGACTAGGGGATACTTTCCGGATTATCCACCCAACGTATCTAATGAAGACGGTGATGGAACTGTGAATAGAAGGTCAGCAGAGGTTTGCCGGCGGTGGAATGCGACCAACAATCAAGGAAAGCCAGTAAGTTGGATCAGAGAGCTCCATGTTGTTCAGGCGTTCGTGTATAACTATTCGATAAAATAACTTACAAAGTATTCATTATCAAAAATTTTTTGGATACAATGGTGGTGAAGATTGATAACAACAATGAATAGTAATGATAATAATAAAGGATCAATAAAGGATTAAGCTCTCGGCATTGATCAATCGCTGAGGGATGCGCCATGCATTCGACTTCATTAGGCATCGTTTGGAGGTGATTGAATGCATACCTGGCCTTTACAATGACTCGCGGTGGCCTACGGATGTATAGAGCCGGTGCTGCTATCCTTCCAGACAAGTTTGGTACTAATTTGCTGACTCCGGAGGGATGGAAGGCTTGTTGGGTGAAGGGAACGGTGATCGATCCCATATATGTGTTTCAGCGCTCCTTCGACCACTGCGCCACACGCACCTTAATGATAATAATGGTAATTTCATGCTTTTTTTTCTTTTTGCAGAAAATTTCTCTTGAAGTTGATATTTCTAGGAACAGGTCATTCGTTTCGTTCATAAAAGAGATCCTTTTAGGTAACGGTTCATGAAATCCTTGGTGCTGAACATATGGCGATTCTCCATAACCCGGTAGCGACGGAAATCGTTCGCAAAGCCATCTTTGGTCTGCTATGAACGAAGCCAGTTCTATTTTGTTCTTACAGCAAATTTTGGATAAATTTCATCTGTGCAGTGTAGAGGAGCAAGAAGCCCAGCCCATGAAAAGCCCTTATTAAGAAAACCCCACGTAGATTAAATCGTTGTTTTCAATGTAACCATTGAACTTCATAGGCTAACACTCGAGGCACGTGAACGACTCTCCCTAATCGTGGAGTCATCAGTAGAATACCCATTTCACTGTACTACTATTACTACTTATCATTTTCTTGGAGTTCCGAGAAATTCAAGCAAGCGTTCTTTACCACCGTATAAATGTGTTTGGTCCAAGATAACGGAGATCCTCGGTATTGGTCTTTTAGACATTAGCATATTAACAAAAATACGAGCCATATATGACTTATTCATGTTATTGTATTGATATATGCATAATATATCAATACAATAACTATTGTACTATTTTGTGTTCATTTTTATTTGCCCCTGTTTTAAAATAAAATTTGAAGGACATTGCTTATCGTCAATAGGTTAATAAAGATTAAAAAACTTAACGACTTGTTGTACAGATAACCAAATGCATGAGAAGTAATAAGGGCACGTGTGGCGCAGTGCTCGGCGGAGCTCTGCAACACACACGTAGGATCGATCCCTGCGCCCATGGCCCACCAAGCCTTCCATCCCTCCGGGGTCGGAAAATTGGTACCGGACCTGGGAGGATAGCAGCGCTGACTAGATACATCAGTAGACCACTGCGAGTAAACCATTGTAAGGGCCAGATATGCACTCAATTACCTCCAAGCGGTGTTCAGTGAAGTCGAATGCATGGCGCATGCCTCAGGGATTCATAAATGCCGAGAGCTTTCTTTATTTTTATGCAAAGTAATAAAAATGAATAACTAGTTTTTCCGACATAAAACCTGAATCCCATGAATGTCTGAAACATTACAGATTTTCGTGCAACGGCTGTCTAAATAGTGATCCCACTCTTTTACCTCTCGTGGACATTAAAGGGAAAATTTCTCAAGAAGTCAAAATTTTGCTAAGGTACCACAAAAAAGGCAGTGGAACCGGAGTAGCTCGAAATCGATCCACAGCAAAATTACCCTATGTTACAATTCATTTTCACTTTTCTAAGTAATTTTATTATAGTGGCATTCCTCTTTGACATTATAAAATGGGATGCTTAAGGATGAACTTGCGTATTTGGAAACCGTTAGTAACACGTTTTCACAGAACGATCAATACATTTGTAACGTCGATAAATCAGAAGAAAATTTGTAAAAAGAAAAAGGTTTGGAATTTTAGTGTGATAATCGCAAATGACAATCGACAACTGTGACTTGACGAACTGTGATTAATGCTAAATTTTTATCTTACTTGATACTTACTTGAATGGCCCGTCCTCATTGGTTGTGCGGGCCCCAGCATGATCTCCATTTTTCGGAGATTTGCTAGTTAAGCCATTGTGGTTCCCTGCAATCCTGAGGTCAGCCTGGTCAAAGTCTGCCCCAAGTCTTCGCCACTACAGGCAGTCGCAGCCCTTATGGATCAGAGGGAGATTTACCATCATGCGACTTTGATATCAAGACGGTGGTGGATCCTGGTATTGGTTTACTCTTAGCTAGGCTTTCTGATGAAAACGCCGAACTCCTTCTCAGCTCGGGAGACACTGCCAGGAGATGAATACCCCGCTGTACATCGCACTCTGACACCCAGGAACACCTCCCAGCCACAATGAGGCGTTGGGAGGAATTTTTATCTATTGCCCAGTATTTGCTTAGTGGCTAAGAGGAAAACAAAGCAAGGGTCTCACTTGTGCAATGGGTAACACGTGACATCCGGAAAGGTAACCGTGCGCTCGAATCTGGGCTAGATTCCAAGTTTTGGAAATATCTGTGTCATTATGGTTGTATCACACATAATACCCTGCCGTGAAACAATGTAATAGGCAGTAAATAAAAAGTTAACATTGTGATTCCGACTATAGCCTCAGCTTAACTGAGTTCATTGCCGATTTCGGTTTCGCAGATCAATCCTGTTAATGGGTGATTGCTGCTGGCACAGATCGATTAGAAAACTTACTGAGAGACAGGTGAAACGAAGGACTCGCATGGTGTAGTGGTGAGCGCCTTAGCCCCCTGAAAGGGTAATAGCGCGTTCGTTTCCCTCCGCAGACACCTGTGGTCCGGAGTTCTGCAAATATCTCAGCATTACCGTAGTTGAGAAATTTTGCTGCCGAGATTAGTTGAAATATCCACATGTGGGTACACTGCACACCATGTCGCTCGGTTCCGTGCTTAATTCGACATTCAATTTAGGGTCACTAAATTGGTCTCAGACCTGTTTGGGTGGATAAAACCACGAAGTTGATACATAGGTTACTAATCCCATGTATGGGCTAGGTATGCATTAAATTGCCCCTAAAATGATACGAATGGAGGCAAGTGCATCTTGCATCCTTAAGACATTAATGCTAACGCTTTATGCTCTCTCTCGATAGTGGCAAATGGAGATTTAGTATCGCGACATCTTCGTACTCCTCGAAATCCTATCAACGGGATGACAAGTGCTTAGCGTGTCCGCTTTATAGGCAGAAATTGCCAGTTGTTTATTCCATTCTTGCAAAACTTTGAAACTGTTGAATTTTCCAGAATGAAGACAACTTGATGGTTCTTATTTTGCAATTCTTTACCGGAGTATAGTCCATGATCGAGCTTGTTCTGTCGTTTGTGTGCCCGATTTACTCACTAACGTTCGAATTGCATTTACACTTTATTTAAGAGTTGGCACATGGTGCGCCTAAAGAAATTTGTAAGCAGCATTTGGTCATAAGATTCTAAAATGAACAAAATTTTAGTTCTTCCTCGATATATATGCATATATAACCGCAATAGTGCTGAGATATTTGCAAAACTTGGACCCAGGACCAAATCGAACCACGATTACCCTTTCCAGGGACTCGCGTATTACATGCTGCACTACATAGGCCTTTGGTTTGCGTTTCGCTCAGCTAGTTTTCTATAACCTTTTATGTATATATAGATTTCGAAAACTATTAGTAGAAATGTGATCTTCCTAGATTGATCAACTAAATGCAGGATACGCAGCTGTCATAGAACGATTTCAGTTGTACAGAGGCGAACCTCTCTTAGATCGACAACGACCGGCTAGGGTTTGCTGAAGACCTGAGAACACCACAGCACGGCTATCTCAATGTTCAAGAAAACCAGGCTCTCAACTTATCATTTAGCATTGTCGCTGAGGAGAGAAAATGGCAGATCGTCCAGCCGCAACCGAACTCGTTAACCTAATCGTGATCGATCATGGATTGCCATTCCAAAGACAACGAAATGAATTAGAAAGGTGATGGGGCGATATGACATACAGAGACAGGTAATCTAGATGATTCAGTTGTAGTGACTTATAATAGATGTTTGTAGGCGTAGTTGCTTGTTCGTGTCGTTTGTGTGTTCTGTGTCACAGTGGCGCTCAAAGATGAAGAAGACCATTTTGACTGTACAGGTCAAAGTCAATTCCGGACCTCTGAATCGCGAGTAATCATGGGTAGGCTAAGGTTTTGGAGAAGAAGTGACAGTGTTTTGTGTTTTCGATGTTTAATAATTATTATTCCATACTTCAGCATCCGGACTAGTAATTGTGGTTTCCTGGGCTGTGACTAAACGATGTCTGTTCTATCGCGGTTGTTGCGTAGATTACAATGTATAGAAATGGAATCGCTAATAGAACTTTGGAACAAGGGTTTGTGATTGAAATCTTGATAGTCAGTCCGGTAAAGACTAGCTGTGAACAAGCCATTCGGCGTGGCTCTGCTCTAAAAAGACGCTCCATTCCAATGGTTCCCTCGTTTGTGAGGAATTCGAGCTGCAAATGTGTTGGCGATCGGCATCGTGTGTACGGAGGCTCGCTAATTGGATTTCGATTATGAGAGATATTCAGCTGTCAGTGGGTAATTGCCTTTCTCGCTTCAAAGCATGTCGAGATTTGCCTCTTTCCTGAACTCTTTCCAGAGTGCAAACAGCCGTCTAGTATTTCTGCTACTCGCACCGTTAGTCCATCCACAATGATGTCATCACATATCATCGCTGCATAGAAATCTCTATTATCACAAGTTCAAATCATAATGAAGGATTTATAGAATTTTTCGGAATGGATAGCAATTCTACATCCCAACAATATTATCAATTTGGAAAGGTTCTTAACATCAGTTACATAGATTTGAACGTATTCGTAGATCAGTCGCAAAGCATTCGCATTCGCAAGGAAGTTATTTCCTTAGTGAAATACCGTACACCTTGCGCGCTATGAATATTTCAATTAAAGTGGCTTTTTTTCTATTGAATTTTAAATAAACGAACTCTAAGATTCGAACCTTGGTAGAGAAAAGCGCCTACTTCGTTATCATCGAATAAGCTACTCGGGATTGGATACCATCTGCGCTAAAACAAAACATTACGTAGATCTTCATCTTCTATAATAACAACCTTGTGTCTGCTTATTGAAGAAAAACATCGAATTATCAATCAATGCCGAGGTTAACAGAAAGTCGGTCTTGGGAATTACGTAGATCTCTCTAAGTCTCGAACCCGAGAAACTGCAAGTCTTTATTGTTAGTTAAGAAGAGTTTTTGGAATGTTCTGTGCTATATGGTTGGCTAATAACTCGAAATATTCTTATTCTCCTATCAATAGAATGTTGTGATGGATGTTAAAAACATGTTTTCACCGGACAATACTTTACTTGACACTTGAACGGCCCGTCTTCACTGGTTGTGTGGACCACAACATAATCTCCATTTATCGGAGATTTGCTGGTTAAGCCCTTATGATTCCCTGGGGTCCCGAAGTCAGTTTGGCCAAAGTCTGCTCCAGGTCTTCACCACTACGAGCAGTCGCAGCCCTTGTGGATCACAAGGAGATTTGCCACCATACGACTTTTATACCAGGGCTATGGTGGATCCTAGCACTAATTTACTCTTAGCTAGGTTTCCTGATGGTAACGCCGGACTCCTTCTCAGTTTGGGAGACCCTGCCAGGAGACGAATCTCCAGCTGTACATCGCAGTCCGACACCCAGGAACATCTCCCAGCCACGATGAGGCGGTAAACCGTTGGCAGGTTCACAGGACAATTTGTATAGTTAATACCCTTTCGCGCTTCATTTGGAATAGATAAGTGGGACCTCAGTATTCCAAAAAATGATTAATTCTGGCCCTTCAAATAAACGTGGTTAATCAGTTGCTTGTTTATTACACATGTCTGAAATTTTAGTCACTTAGAGAACAAACTGTTACAACTTCCAATGAGAGGAGAAAACAAAATTCGGGACAGACGCTTTAAATAGGCTGCAAACTGGAACGGAGATAGGGACTACCACTAAGTACTGTGGTCTTCATTTCGATAAAGTTGATGAAAGCGAAGTAAAAAGTGAATAACGCCTTTTAAATATCGCCTGTAATCCCACTAATCAACGGATAGTTCGAGCACCAAAGAAATCCCTACTCGTCGTCGTCATCCGTTGCTATTGTACTGTTTACTTGGCTTGCTCGAACGAACGAGAAGTGCTACTTTTTAGCATTATATTCTCTAATTTGTCTTCTTGACATGAAACCAACCATAGGGAGGTCGTCAGGGTTCGTCGTGGCATAGGTTTATCTTGGCTGCGGTTTTGGTCTGGAATATTGAACTTATTCTCAACTTACCATGGATCCTCATGGTATACGATTGAACTTCCGCTCGGTGTGCAGCACAATATACCAACAAGGAATACCCCTGGGCAAAGACGAGAAGCCGAACCATTCACTGTGTGTTTGAATCTTTAAGCTCATACGAGGTTGACAATAAGGTTTATTCGGCTAACGTACCGACGTCTTCGTCCTCGTAAGAGCCGATGACCCGAGTCAACGGTTCACAGGGGATTATCTTCTCGATGTGGCATTTTCGTCTTCGTATCGAGTCCGATCTACCTCAGTGGAGCAACTCTCGAATGAGGCATACTCACTCGTCGACCCTCCTTTATACACGATACTGGCTACTGATAATTCGATGGTGATGGATGATGAATGGGTGATGCATCCGTAGTGTTTTAAATGGTCTTGAACAATAGTCGATAAGTAATCGGAAGAATTTCTCTAACAGACAGCCATTGACGCAAGAATAGTTTATCTGTATATAATAGTGAAAGCAGATGATGTGTACTGCAAGGATATATTATTTATATATGCCACAAATGACCTATCTGAAGACACTTGAAAAAAAGAGAGAATCGATGAAATGGAAAAAACACAAACAAATGGGAAAATGAAAACATGAAAATGGGAATTATTACTTGTAGCGACGGACAAGTTTATACTAATGTGATAATTTGCTTTGCTAAGGATTAAGAAGCGGATGCAAGATTTCGAAAGTCTGAAAGAGAATGGTGTCAATTATAGCGCAGTAGATACCTTTGAATTTTATTACGTGCGATCATTCACGCGGTAGAAAAGCTAATAGTGAACCAATAGAGGGCTAACAGAGCAATCGTCAGCTTCAGTGTTCAACAACAGTTTACTGTGTTTTGCTGATAGTGTGAAATATTCCGAACAATAATCACAGGAATAGACAGAAAAGAGAAGAAAAGTGAGCAGAAACACAGCGCGTAGGGTTCTAAGCAGTAATAATTATGAAGATCAAAGATGAAACAATCGTAGCCACTATTAGAAATAAAGTCGAAACAATAGCATTCCAGGATCTGAAGAGAAGCGACCCAGGCATCTCGACGAATTTTCTTGAACACTGCTGGAAACGGCAGCGATACTACGGCATGCGTCCAGCATACGGTAGAATTGAGCTGGTGGGGATTTCGATTTATGCTAATTAAATGTGGAATACCGGATACGCTAGGCAGCAACTGATTAAAGGATACCCTCATAAACGTGATGTTCACCGCCCGATAGATGTCATCACCTTCAACTAGGGAAATAACGACATTGTAAAAGGAATGTAGAGTAGGCGGTCATTCCTAAGTAATTCAATCGAACAGGTGAAATCCGTAAAACCGTTTACTCTTTTGTCGTGAATCAAATTTCCTATGCTTTCCATATTTTCAAAATTGTCCATCATTAGAAAAAAATTTTAGGCACGTTGTAATTATTTCAAAGCTGAACACTTTGCGTGCTACGATCCTATCTCTATCTGGTATGGGTAGCGCTTGCCAGGCCAATTTCGGCTCAGCTTGAGCTCTTTTGTCCTGTTTTACCGAACAATTTGTTGTAACTAAATCTCTACTCTGATCATTCCAACACGCTTCCCATTCTCCAACTATCCAGCCTTAACTAACTAATGTGTTGAGATAATAACAAAGATCAATTTCGTTAGACTTTAAGAAATACGAAGAGATTGCTTTTCTGAGGGAATTTCGCTGTAAACTGTAGGACTGTAAGCATAATCCTAACTGTTGGATTTTCATTGAAATCACTTCGTCAGATCCTCAACATTTAAGTTGGTATTTTATAAATGGAACTACAATTTATTGAATTATGTCGAACTATCTGTGCTGACATCTGGTTACAAGATTCCTTCCCAGGCACTTGGAGTAAAATGAGTTTCCCTTTAGTCAGTTGCTGCAAAATGCCATCTGTGTTAGCGAGTTTGTTTTTACGGCTTTAGATGAATGGAGGAGGAGGATAGCTGGTAATTCAGTATTGTCCTTGGTAATCATGTGTTTGCGGCTTTTGCTCCATCAACGCACTGAAAAAGGAACAGGTAGATTAAAAAGAATTAAGTTTGCAAATATATAGGCATAGCGATTGAGAGCGGCCTTAAAAACTGACCTCGGAGGTGCTTTTTCCTCCTCAGAACGTCGTTTGAGACAAGCCGCCTTCGGATTCAGATTACGCTGCCGAACCTGAATAATGTATTCAAATTTTAAAGCTGATTTTTTCATATCCAACTGCCCTCAGAGCACTTCTAATTGTGTTTAGAGCGATTTTTGAAGAAAATTTTCGAAGGCTTCTGTTAAGATCTATTACAACACTTCACTAGGACAGCACGGTGCTCTCGCTCAAAATTGTTCCTACGACCAAAGAAAGCTTATAAGATACCTGATCCTCAAGTGCAGTAATAATGGAGACAGCCTGATGGAGAATGCCCAGTTTGGTCTGAGCCTTCTCGGAAGCATTCGGTAGGTGTTGGCCGCACATCTTCCCCAACTCTTTGAAGGCTGTGTTGATGTCGCGCACACGAACTCTGCAATAGGAGCATATTTTGGATTACCTGTATTTACAGATCGAGTAGTTGAGGAAGCACAGATTGGTGGGTAGCTTCTTTAGGAAATTGGATCAAGACTGCTAAATACTAAGGAAATCATTTCAGCGTCGTTCGTCCTCTTCAAGCCACAAAAAATAGAAAAAGTGAAAAATTCACACCCGTTACATGCCACCTAAACCATCGAAGAAGATATGTACTAGAACAAAAAATAAAGCATTAACTTTTAGCACAGCTGAGGCAAAAAGCCTTCATAGCCGAATTTAACCCATTCACGACAGCGGATATTTTTGCGTGGGAAGCCCAACCGTGGCGCTTGTTAATGTAGCGCAACTGAGATACACATCGAAATTAAGATGTAAAGTCCAAAACCTACAGCAAATCTAATGTACGTATTGAGATCAATGCGCACAGTTATAGAAGGGTTAAATATGAATGAAGCACTAGATCTCTTCATCAAGTCGGTTAATCGAAATCGAAGTCCTCAATGAACAAGATATGTTCCAAGATTTTAATAGAATGCCAGCGTGTGCTCGTTATAGTTAAGACCTATCACAGGTAGATATAGATGTCATAGATTTCTAAGTACATGTTAAGTGAAGTGCGGAGTAGTCGCTTCACAATGGATTCCTTCTCATGTTGTCTAAACATGTTGGTATCCAACGTTCCTCAAATTTACTGTTTATTCAATGGATAAATAAAATGATTGCAAATTATGGATGAAAGTAATAATCCCATATATACCATAAGAATTCACAAGAATTTAATCCATAACTCTAGAAGAGGGTGGATTTGATTCAGACATTCGACAGACGTTTCACTGTATACCCCAGAGTTCCAGAGAACTTTATAAATGTACTGACTAGGCATTATGATACATTCAATGTTAGTAAACCTAACCGGAAGACCAAATAAAGATGTCGGTATATTTCGCCACATTATCTTTTCCACCATATGTTGTCAACGCCGCCCTTTAATTTTGGCTCTTCAAATCACACATGATTGAATAAATTGTCGTGAATTATACAGAAGACATCGAGTCCTTTTCTCTGTAGTATCTTTCCTCTATTTGTCATCCAGTAAATTCTTACTGTCTAAGATAAAGGATAAAAAGATAAAGCTCTCGGCGTTGATCAATCCCAGAAGGATGCACTAAGCATTCGACTTCATTAAGCACCGTTGGAGGTTATTGAATGCATATCTGGCCTTTACAATGGCTCGCGGTGGCCTGCCAATATATCAAGACAGTGCTTCCACCCTCCCAGACAAATTCGATGGCAATTTGCCGACGCTGGATGGATAGAAGGCTTGGTGGGCCAGGGAGGATGGCAGCACTGGCTCGATACATGGTAGGTCACCGCGAGTCATTGTAAAGGCCAGATATGCATTTAGTCACCTCCAAAGGATGCTCAATGAAGTTGAATGTTTGGTGCATCCTTCTGGGATTGATCAACGCCGAGAGCTCTACCTTTTATTCTTTGTTAATGAGTTCCTGTAGAGAAAGAACGAGTTTCAACTTAGATATTTAGATGACATGTCCGCACGTATTGTGTGGGCTTTAGCACCTCATTAATTTATTTCGTTGTTATGCAACTGTCAACGATAGAAGTGGTCAAGTTAGTGTATGGGCACCCTCAACGTTGACCTTTGACTGACGATTTCTTTGGGGCTTTCCTTGGAACCCCAAAACTGTCGTACTATGGCTTTCCCAGACCAACACTATAAACCAACGGTGGATCCTGAAGATTGGAGCAAGCACTTCTGCCAGGCATCTGATGTTTTTCGGTGATCGAGGACGGTATCAAGGCCAAACTTCTGCACCTTCTTGACGAGGGACAGACTACCCGGCGTAGATCAACCTTGATGGTATGTCTTTTGTCAATTTCATTTCGTCCCTAGCTCACATTAAACTTTGAGGATTTCGCCCCCTACATTCCAGCCCAGTTCTTCTTGATATCCAGAAATCTGATAAATGATCTTCACTTCTCCAAGGCGTTAATTCCGAAAAAAATCTGTGAGGAAGACTGATGAAATATTTCAATTTTTGTTGTCCAAAAAAGGAAAGAAAAACGAAAACGTCTAAAAACCATATCGGACTCTGAATGTTATTCCTATGCAGGTCGACAATTCTAAGGTGTGACTTCCAAGCCACTTGCCCTTCTAGTAAGTGGTTTACGCATTGCGCAATAAACATATGGCATCCCGAAATCGCTAAATAATGGCGCTAAAAGTTTATCAACTCAAATACCATCGTTTTATTCGTAATAAAAACTTTATGACGTTCTTGAGGAAAGAGGGATACTCAGAATGCAGAAACGTCATCGGTAATGTTATTGATACAACTAACATCCGTTGACATATTAATGACGAGATCACTTTATCAATGCATGTAATGTAACGTATCAATAAGAATTTTTGGAAAAATTAGTAAAAGTGAGATTTTTTAAAAAATGAATGGAAAGTCATGGTAAGGAACTGAATGTGGCACGTGCCTGTTATCATGTAAAATTGGAACAGCGCCTTCGAACGGTTTACCGCATCATTGTAGCTAGGTGTTTCTGGGTTTAGGGCTGCGATGTACGACCGGGACATTTATCTCCCCAGCAGGGTTTTCCAAGATGAGGAGTACGGCGTTTTCACCAGGAAGTCTGGCTAAGAGTAAACCAAGGCAAGGATCCACTAACGCCCTGGTAACAAATTAGTCGCATGATGGCAAATCTCCCTGTGATCCACAAGAGCTGCGACTGCCTGTGGTGGTGAAGACCTGGAGCAGACTTTGGTCAGGGTGACTTCGGAGCTGCAAGGAAACACAATGGCTAAACCAGCAAAGCTCCGAAAAATGGGGAATATGTTAGAGATCGCAGAACCAATGAGGACGGATCATCTAAGTATCCTAGTGTCGAAGTAATTGGAAGAGCGATGTTCTATATAATAAACCTTTTATAAACATAAACTATAAACAATTTAATTGATCCAATATCCTCTTTCTGATTTCATAAACATCTAAGAAACATTGTTGGTTCGTGATGGATTTTCGTCGTACTGACAGAAGTTAAAGTTAAAATGCTTAGAAACTGATTCTTACTTCATGATTTTATATTTCTAAACACAAGACTTCTGGATCATAAATTCTCAAGATCAGTGCTATTTTGTTCAAAATCAAGGCTAATTCGGGAGACAATAGAAAGATTTTTAAGCATTTCAGGATGGGTATGCCGTGAAGTTGATTGAAAATGTTCTGCGATGGTGATATCACAGAAATTAATTTCTTTTCTATAATGCCACCAGCGACTGTGACGTAAACTCCAGGTTCCTTAGTATTTTTAATTTTTGTTATTCATTTGAAAGTGGATTGATTGTACGAGAAGAAAATGTGGACGAAAGCTAACACGACGCTCCAATGCGACGTCGTTGATCGCATTACCAGAGTACCGCAGTACAGCGGATTTTGTGTGACACATGCTCGTCACCGATTACGTAATCACACATGACATATTTATGACAGTTGTGATCCTAAGCGTACTAAATCGTTTGGGAATCCTTGAGAACCTTAGCAGCAATGATACTCTCTGTCATCAATTTCTGGAGTACGGTCGTACCCAGATGAATAATTTGACCAGCATTTAGGCGAAATTTTAAAATTCACATAAAGATCACGATAATAGCTCTCCAGACTAGGAGTGTATGGATTCTACGCTTTTTAATAGGAAAGTCTTTTCTCAAGAAAAGGATAGGACCTCTTGTCTATACAGTATCCTAGTGGAGAGGAGATCCCTTACTCTAACGTCATACGGATCCAAAACCTCTCTGATTTGGACGGGCATGGGTCATTAGAACACGCGATGTCGCTTTGTATTACGCAATCTATGTATATACAGTACAGTAGACGCTCGCTGAGTGGTCTTTTGCGGTTCTAATATAAAATCCAGGAAAGAATTGTCAAATATAGGTATGGTCATGACCGTGGTGTGAGAAACAACGACAACAGACCTGCGGACAAGGAAGAGATGCAAGGAAGAAGGTTAGTGAGCTCTCATTTTAGGTACTAAAACTTGTTTTTAATCAGGGGATTAGGAGCTTTGTTGCCATTTTGTTGGAAGGAATAGAACCGAACTACCGTTCGCGGGCGTTGTTGGCAGATCGTCGATCGACATCGCGTTCGTCACCCGATTTGTTGTCGTCATCGGATTCGCCACGTAGTGATTTCGTTTTCCGTTTTCCAGAAGTGGGACGTATTGGAAGCGAACTGAAATCCGCAATCAAGAAGGTTCATTCTTTGGAGGTAAATAACACGAAAATAGTCTTGTTTCCAGCTCTTAATGTGTGTGCTAAATACGGGGAGGTGAACTATGTAAACATTGAATAAATCGAGAAAAAAAACTTTAATACTGCTGTCACCTGAAACCAAACCGAATCAGAAGTGTATGTGATCACACATCATTGTCACTGACCGATTCTGACTTATCAAGGATACTTTAAAAGCAAGGACACGTAGAACTAAATGTATTTTCTGATTGATATCAAAGATTAACCCACCTAACACTAGAACCTGAAGGGGCTGGTTGCATGAGACAATAGTCGAAATGGCCAGGCGCTGGTGAGACTTGTGCCGGTGGAAGACAATGCGATGCGTAGCCGGTATCCGTGGAAGACGGTGTGTCAGAAAGCGCGGACTGCAACAACATGCACGGACCATCAAAATTTAGATGCCATCGAGGCATACTGTTTAACAAGTTGGATTTTTATATCACCAAACACGTAGGACAGTAATTTCATCAACACTAACTAGTTAATAATAATTACTGGCTTTATTTCTTCATTTAAATCTCGGGCTTAAACAAGTTCCCACATTAACCTCTTATGGTGCAACTGTTTCGTGTTATTATAGGATTTTTCGGGAACTTTCGTTGTCGTTTTCGTTGAAATCATTTAATTTGCACATGAACAGGAGTTAATGTAGTCAATTTGTGGACGAAAACGAGGCCACTGCAGAGATCCAGATCGTCGCCCCAAAAATGGACATTTGCAAGACAATGGCAGTCCGAACCGCGAACACGACGCAGATGTTCTTCTCCCCCTAGAGTACCACAATTGTCAACTAGTTCTAGGTCAATCACCACAGTAGCAGAGCCTCGGAACCCATGAACACAACAGATATTGATGCAATGTCTTTTACTACAAAACTACTTGACACGTGAAGTGGGTAAAAACTTTTTGTTACTAAGTAGTGTAGATGTCTAAGCATAGTGGATGGCGCATCAGGAAGTACCAAAACAGATCACATTCACTAATTGATGAGCTCGCACTAATTATTTTGGTGCATTAAACACACAGCAATTGGCATAGCCCATAATTGATAGAAAGTCGTTAGCTTTTTGATGTCGTCTTAGGATTTTATGCTCCTTCATGAGCGAAGCTTTGGTTCGGCACGCGCCATTCTCTTTGTCGACAAGGCGTGTCGCGGCGTCAAGGTCGTTCTTTCTCTTTTCTTTACCCAAATGTGGACGGATTATGATTTAGAAGACCCTGTTTATACGCTGATCATCGCCCGAGAGCGGCCGTGCGGGTCCTTTGATCGGCTGACCCCTGGGTTGGCTGCGGGATCCACTCCATCCATAATGTTATCCAACACCACTCCCAGACGATCAAGTAGAAAAATCTTGTCAGGGCTTGGGAGAAATAAGCGTGTCCTCCGAGAAATGAAAATAGATTAGAGGAATATTGTGAATATCACAGAACTTGCATGAGTTGTTGTAGTCAGGATTTTTAAAAGCGACGTGGGAAATATTGAAAACGCTTGTAATATTAAATAAGATATCCATTAAGAAGAGACGAATCAATCGCCATAGATTTTGTTAAATCATGCCTGGTAGAACGGAGTGTGGCCCAAATCCGAGCCGTCCGCAAACGGATACGGTAGAGGCAAAGACGGATAACCACTAGAGGCTCCAGGAGCTGAAGTCTTGTCATCAGTGGGCTGAAAAGGTCCATAAAGTAAATACGGTAACAATAGTCATAAATTCTTTGATTTTACATGGTCGAAGATGTAATGGTAGGGTGAACAAGAGTAAAACAGGAGCAATCGAAATGCTTCGATGGATTTTACGGGAATCATTCAACAATGATTAGGCAGTGTAGGGCATTTCTATGGCAATCAATCTTCAGTTTTTAAAAATATTCCCGACCAAGCCAATTTAACAATTTTGTAAAGTTATATTAATTAATAACTCTCCCATTAATTAGAAATCTTCATTTAATGACAAGGACTACTTAAATACCATGTGCTTGTACACTTGCAAAATACAGTTATCGTACAAAATTAGCTTCATCTATATGTATATACATATGCATGTATATACACATATATATGGTATACACATGCATATACACATTTATATGTATACATATACGTATGTATATATATATACGTATACATATATATATATATATCACCTCGTGGAAAAGCCAAAATTTTGCGAAATCTTGCAAATATTGTGTTCATGGAGACCAAATGATATTGAAAGTTCAAGCATGTGAAATGTGACGTGTAGTTCCTAACACCAAGGTCTGTATTAATCTTTGGAAGTTTTACGAGTTCAAAGTATGATGATTATAAGAAGGTGAACTAGGCTTCATCGTCTACGTCAGCCGTGCAGATCGCCATCGTTTGGCGGTAAACCACGTAAACTGTTAAATGACAACGATCAAATGGATGAGTGCCATAACAACTCGACTGGATGAAGTGGTAACCTTGTCGACGTCTTGGCCGAAATAGACAATTAAGTAATCACGATCATCGGTGTCGGCATGTCAAACGCAAAATTGCGTACTTAAGTCGCTGGATAATCACAAAGCAACAGTACGTAAAGTGAGACGCTCTCGGCAGTCGGCATCTTTGATTTTTTACCTGTTAGTTTTCGCGATATTTAAAGAAATTACCTACTTTACAGAAGAACATACCATATATCCAGGATACCCAGGCCAGACAGTGGGTGGTTGATACATAGCCGATAGAGCGTCGCTCGACACTGCAGGATTCGTCGCAGGAGCCGTGTAGGGTGGCACATTTGGCTGCAGAACGAACTTTAGTGCGGTTTAAAACATGTCACGTCAATTGGCTATAAAAAATTTAAAAGAAGTGCTCCAGTTAGCGGAATATTTTTGGACATAACTAGTGTTATGTCAGTAGTTTGTTGTTATTTTTAAGATCAATGTAGAAGGCAAACATCTGAAGGTTCCCTAATATTGAAAAGCCGAAGTTCTTGCCAATTTAGAGATGTCCCAATGCATGGACTACATTATCGATTAGATTTGGATTCCAATTCTTTAAATGGTTCTTGTTCTGGTCGATGAATTAATTTCGATGTTCTGTGCCACAATATGACGCTTTATTGATCGTACTAAGATCGTAGGAAAAAATAATTACTAATCAATAGTCATACTTTTCCAATTTCAAGCACATCCGAGGATCCGGCGCCTCCGTTAGCAGCGGAGACTGTCGGCACCACCGGGGAAGGGTAGGCAGCCGGTGCTGTGTAGTCCGATTCGGTTCCAGCGGTTAACGTTGGGTAAGGTGGGAGGCCACCTAGCGGTGCGTACGAAGGAGCTCCTAAGATGTGCTGATTTAGATATGGCAGTTACATTCATCCTAATGATTAGGTTCTAGCCTGGTTTGTCATAGAAAAAGGAAAATCATGAATAAATGGATTATATCGTGAACAACAAAGCTTCGCCTATGATCTCAAAAACAAACGTTCCGAAAAACTCAAAAGTAGTTGTTCTAAACGGTAGTAGTTTTTAGCAGCTACCTGTTCCCCAATAACCAGCACTAATATCCGCCATCTGCAAAACATGCGGGTCCATAGCGGAGTACGCCGTGTAGTCGTACGGAGCTGTCATCGAAACGGGTTTTGTCTCACGAAGCTGAACATACGGGAAAGTTATGGCAAAAAATCAAAAGTCATTAACGGTCGTTTGGTATGTGCCAAAAATACAAGAACTTTGAATTTTCATTTGAGTGGTGTCTAGCACCATCATCGACAACACTGCAAGTGATCGGTGTACCAACACGTACGACACTGTGAACTGTGCTGAAGATATTGGTTTGAGCATAGAAGAATCAACTGTAAAACAGAGAGCTCGGATAACCCAAAGCTCAAGAAGAACCATGCAAATCGATCCAGTAGGAAATAAAAATGAACTGAAGGATGAATCGAACGGGATGGACTGATTGAATCTGGTTTCGGGCCGATGTTCGAGGTAAATTATTGGGAAGCTAGCGAATAGGTGATAATTATTACTGAACACACCCAACGTAACGACACCCTACGGAGGAGACGTCGCCCAGTCGGCGGCTTGGACAAAGAGCTAAAGAGCCGAAGAGCGTTAGGGTCGCGAAGCGTCTCTATTCACCGAAGTGACTAATGAGCACTGTATGCCGATGGCAAGGCGGGAAATCTCTAGGTTATCGATTGATCCGGTAGAGTCATGGAGGACGTTCCTCAGGCCAATTCCCCCGCTGTGCTTCTAGTCATAAACACACGAGGGCTTCCTTACTTCTATTTTTACTTATTTCATGCGCTTTCTGATACCATCGTGAGACTTCTTTAACTCACAAATTGGTAGGCATCAGCATACCAGCGAACGCCTTACAATTAGTTTTTACAGAGACACTGGGAGAACTCACAACAGGAAAGAAATTGAAGCCCGACGATCATACCAGCTCGCAAACTTACATTCTTCCTGAAGGACAACATTTGCACAGATTTAGGAAATTTAGAGGATTCAAAGAAGCTTAAAGCGGCCATCCACATGAAAAATACAAATGCTTGAGATCGAATCCACGTTTGACCAAATTGATTGCTGCGGTAGCGTCCCATGGAATTATTGATCGATTAATAGCACCGTAGTGTCAAGCATACACCCACACGCAATCACACACACACACTGACAAAGATGTGACGAGGTGAGATACGGTAGCAACGACGCGGCGTGCGGACGAACTCAGCTGGTTGTGTGTGGAACACATGAGGAAAGCGACGATATGATGAGTAGAAAATGAGTCGATAGGTAATCGATTAGCTTTCAGAGTGAATTCTATAATCCTCAGAAAAACGAAACAGCTTAAGTCGCTATGTGGTTCTGACTTGGTGCAAAAATTTGAGTCGGAGAAAGAACGCAAAGTATGATTCGAGGGATCTATTAAGAAGCAGTCATGATTTCCTATTTTTCACAGGATGGAAAAACAGCAGAAAAGAGAGGTCATTAGCCAAATTATATTGTTGTCCAGCAATAGGAATAATAGCAGAATGTTCTAAGGAATTCTAAAACTCTAATGTAGTAAACTTTAGGCTAATCATGAGATACCTAAGTATCTGCGGTCGAAAAGGATCAAGGGTGGAGCGGAAGAAAGAAGACTTTACTGTAAGTTCACTTGCATGAAAGAAGCTAGACAACACTATAGAACAAGTTTCATCATCATTACTAATGGTCGTTGAGTGAACATAGTAGAAGAAAAGAATGGCAAAAACAAGAACAAATAATAGGTGAATTTTTAAAACTGGAAAGGATGGATGTAATGTACGAAAATACATGTAAAGTATTTCAGATACTAATTCGATTAACCAATAACTCGGCGAACGGACATACCGTAATTGGCTTATTAACACTTGACCATCTAACGCGCCACGGATTACGGTACCGTGGCAACACAGTAATCACGAAATTGTAGGTACCTGTGATAGGGGGGGATAGTTGGCGTCCTGTGGCGCAGCATAGGATGGTGCTAGCATTATCGAAGTGACTGCGAGGAGACCGGGTGAAAGTGGTGTGCGGCTTTGGGCGACGATGGGTGGATGTGGGGAGGGCAAAAACAGGCAGGGGGAGGGACCTTGGAGAGTGGGAGGGGTCAAGCGCGCCTTTTAGAGTCCACGAGATCGACGGGTCAACTAGCCGTCCAAAGCGCCGTCGACGACACGATATATAGCTCCGCGAGGATTTCCGGCATAATGGTCCACAGCTGTAGCTATTGAGTATCGTGGACAGATTAAAAACGAGTCATTTATTTCGGTCACCGAATGGTCAGAAATTCTTAACAAGTCAGAAGTTCATCCTATAAAAAAGTACTGAAATATAGTGAATAAGTGGTAGGAGACATGAATCGTGGTGATTTCTATAATCTTGGAATAAAATCCCTACTTGGTCTCTTTTCACTGATTTCAAATGGAACTCAAGACACAACAATTTATGAATTCAAAATTAAGAGGAAATAATCTTTTGGGGACATCCAACTATTTATGCGTCAACCAGATTCAGGTTTTTCCCATAGGATAAATCTTTATGAGGACTTCCTTAAGGAGAAAGAAATCAAAAGGACACAAAGACATAGACACTAAAAAGGTTGAACGACAAATCAACAATCGGTAGAAAACACAATTCGTCACAAGAGGAATTTTTGCAAGCATCTGATCGACCCGGTCCGATCCGATAGCAAACCACACCATATGTCTGCAATTTAGTGTCCGCGAATTTAACTTGAATGAATACGTTGCCCTTGACTTTTATGACGTTTTTATGCAGCCAAATTTGAGTCAGATTGTCATCTGCCGTACCGCAGAACTCGGAAAGGACTCGAGTAAATGCGGCGGCCGTCAGAACTACAGAGAGCGCCACCTACATCCTTCTATGGTAAGGACGCTCGAGTATCTATGAATTTTGCATGAAAAATGCTTCAAAATATAGGACGGGGCAGGATTTGCTGGAAAAGATATCACAATTCGTGGAAAACGTTAGGATACTGACAACATTATGATAGTCTAATCTTCCTTAACGTGCGATCCAGAACTAGATTAAAGTCATTCTCTCGGCAATGAACTGTGAAACCCTATAAAACATGGAAGCAGGTGAAAAGCTTCAGAAAAGAAATCGATTAACAAATTGGTTATGGAGCTTCAGACCAAAATCATTTTTCAATAATCGGTTTGATTTGAAACGTGAATGACAAGGAACTCGGAAATCCTACAGGTATATCCGAATATTCTAAGCAACCTCAACTCCGATCATTCTCAACGACACAACAGAATAGTTTGTGTGGTTGCAGCTTTCATGTATTCGGATGTTTGAAACGAAACCAATAAACCTTGGAGTGGAGAGAAATTAGACTAAATTGTCGCCTAGATGAAACCTTGTCATGCATGTCCATCTTTACTAGCGAAATAGGCGAAAAAGAAAGTAAACATATTTTCACCAATCGATTGTTATTGATCGATTTTATGATTTTTGACGAGTCGTCCATCACTCCAACGTTTCATAGACGCGGCCAGATGGTGTCCAAGCATTAACCAGGCCTCTACGATCGGCCACGACCATCATTTCTCAACAATCCAGATACTAGCGAACGCAACAGTAACCTTGGCTGTTGTGATTCTACCATGATTCTGAAAACCTAGGGAAGTTATTTGACCAAAAAGTGTTGACCAGCTTTTCACTAGTACAGGTTATCCTCTCCCAAAAATATCGCCCACATGGCATTAGCTCATGGACAGGCGAAATACGTTTTATTTCATTAAAATTTTACCTACTAGTGGAAATAGTTTGTTCGAAACCCCATTAACCAAGGCTAGCACGATTAGGGATACCTTGGACTAAAAGAATCTCGAATTCAAGTAAAGAATCACTGCTAAGGTATAGAATGACAGTATCTAAGGTAATTTCATGTCAAATTCCTAAGAAAAACCTTAACTCGTAGGTGATGCAATATATTCTGAAGTTTTAAAAAAGCTTCTTTAGTGAGTTTGATGAAAATCCGACAATTTCGGCCCTAAAAACAGGGAAACCCATCAAATGGAACAAATTTTGATTTGATGTTACTTAAAGCGAAGAGAAGCTACACTTTAGCCTTCGTCCAAAGGTTATTCCTATCAGTAACGTGGACAGGTAGCCAGTTCTCACATTCCCACTCATAAATCTGATCTCTAATCAACACCGAGGCAATGAATAAGAACGTAATAACTCTTTGCTGTCCTAATAGCATAGCGAATGAAATTGCTTAGTTATATGTCATATGCTAAATAATGCATCTATAGTTCAGAAAACTTGGATCGAGATTTCTCGATTACCGTAGAATTGCGTAACAAGAAACTAATTGCTTTGCATTACCGTACTCTTTAGTTTACAAAAGCAAACACACGAATTGAAAAAAACATAGATTCTAGAGCTTAACGACTAATGGGTAATCCGCATAATAAACACAATAAAAGCGGCATAAACAGAGGCCGGTACAAGAGGGCCAGCTGTTTTACATGCTACGGTCGGATTTCGAGGATGCAGTTCGAACTCATAGAAATCTGTTTTCGCTTGATTTACTCAACGTTCAATTCGAATTGTGTAATCCTAAGTTATTTGGGTTAGAAGTGCTTAGAATTAAGGTCGACCGAGGTCATAGCTGAGTGATTTGCATGAACAGTGAACTGTGTTCAAATGCCCATTGCAACAACTTTCTGAGATCATGGATTCCAAAAATGGCTACTTCGAAAAAGAGAGGAATGAGTATACAAGTCAACAGACGATCTAAAGTGTCACAATTTAAAGAACACAAGCCTATTTGCTATGGCCCAACCAGAATTCTTTGTTCAAATTGAAAATGTCAACAGTCGACCAAAGATAGTTGGCTTCGAAAAAGTTGGATTACTCTAGGGAATCTCGGCCGAGCTTTGTGTGTGTGCTATTTAGTTCCAGATTACGATAGCTCTACAACAACTCAGTAAGAGCCATTCAAGTCGAGCCAGCTATCGCCTCGAAAACAGTAGGTTTATGACTGCAAGGTTAGTGAACCAGAATCAGACTCGAGATCAAAACTGAGGAGAGTCATGAGCCTTATATGATTCCCGAAAAAAAAACAATAAGGTCGTGACGAAGATGAAGCGAAAACGCTATGAATATCATGTATGACCTGAATGAAGACTAGCTAACCAAAAACCTTTATGTAAGCATGAATAGTATAGAAGTGAGGAATAGTTTAAATGTCTAGGCATCTCGAAGGTTTTTCTAAGAACCGATGACGTCATTCGGGCAGTCTTGGAGTGATCGGATAATCTTCCTTATCGTGAATTTCTTGGCTAGAAAGCGTTGTTTCCCGGCCGATTTTAGCTTAACTGCAAGTCGTTTTGTGATGTCGATCATCGATTTGTGCGATCGACGCCAGATGGCAGCCCTCATCGGTCTAGCTGAGGTCGCACAAATATCATTAGAATGCATATACTGTTCTTGTGTTTGCGGCTGACTTACTCACAAGAAAATCTCATGAATTGGCCATTAAATTAGACTATCGATGTTCGACGACGAAGTCTCGGTTGGATGAAATGAAAACATGTGGATACACCGAAGCTTCAATGGGTAATCCTAAGATATTCAGGATAACGTGAGCCACTGCCATGCCTTGAATTTGAAAGACGCGCGCTGTCGTCAATATATCAGCCCAGGCCCATTCCGTTAAGTGCTCGTATCTCTAGCAGAGCGGTTGAATTTTTTCGGCATGGACCCGGGATGGCAAAGGATCAGTAAAAAATGTCTCAGACTGCAAGATGTAGCTCACGGTAGTTCACTATAAAGTGTAAGCTAAGTCTGGCAACAATGAATGTGAAGTAACACGTAGACGTGTAATATGAACGAAAAGAAACAGTATTAAATCCATGGAAGTGATCGGCGTTACCGTAATCATAAGATGGCTTCGTCGAAGTAGTCTATCGCTCAAGGAACTAGGTGCCGCTGTCTAGGAGTGGGAATTGGGTGGAAGGAACCAACGATTGTTTTATACTATCACAAACATCATCTCTTTGACGCTTAATCGAAAACAGATGGCCAGTAAAGTTTTACATTCCGAAGGGATTGAGAGAACTGCCAAACTATAAGCAGAGTAGCAGAGAAAGCGAGAGTAGACAGTTGAATGATGCGCGAACAATGGTGTAGGGACAAAACACCAACACTTCTTGCCATACGTGCAATTGCGGACATGACACGCTATTGTTGCGCAATACCGTAACACTTCAATACGGTTAGTGCAAAAAAAAACAAATGATGAAAGAACAAAAATGATATTTCAATGATATGAAAAAGGAAGAAGAATGGAACGGAGAGCGAGAGAGAAGATACTGTCATTTGCGTTCGATTCCTATTAATTTCACCACGATATTAACATTGCTAGATGGAGTGGAACTTCGAAAAAAAAGAAAGGAAAAAAAAGAGCAGAAGAGAAGACATTACCTACACGAAACCCAGAATCCTAATTTCATCATGATAACGACAATACTTATGACAACAGTGGGGATTGAAACTAAGGAAAATCGCGTATCAAAAGGAAGGTAGTTGATGTGAGCATGAAACCAAGAAAGTGTCTCAAATAGAGATCACCAGGCCACCATTAAATGTTCACTGTATTCTGCTCAGCCATTACTTCATCAGGACGAACAATTTAAGCAGTCAATGAGAGATGAGAGTTAAGATGTCGATCGTCCAAATTGAAAGAAGCACGCAGAACTGTCATTGACATGACGCTATTCATCGGATGAATGACAATTATGGAACGTAGAATTAATGAGGTTAGGACGACGGATATTTCATGGTCTACAATTGTTAGTAATTGGAAGAGTTTCATGTAGTTTTCAAGCGATGTCATTAGTTATCGAGTGTGACAGTATAAGGCCCGACAGATGGTACGCGAAACGCGTGCAGCTGAGCAAATGCACGCCGTCCGACGACGCCTACATACTGCTGCCACCTCGGAACGCTCACGTAT